ATGCCTCAAAATTTAAGTTTTGCAGGTCACTTACCAGGGAGCAATACCACAAATACGGCGCGTCAATGAGGCTGTACGCGCTCTTGTTGAGCTTTCCTACCCCTCTCGGCAGCATGTTCAGGGCCGTCCGCATTTCTGGTACAGGGTCAATCGCCATGATTCTATCTGCCTGAGCTTGTCCCTGTAAAAAGGCGGCCTTTATGTCAAAGGATTGGAGGAGCCATCCATAGGAGGAAACTGCTTGGAATATCATGATTCGTGATGTTTTGTTTAGTGTGGGACTATCACGTGGGATTTCTTCTATTTTGGGGTCCAGGTATCCCAGCACTACTAGTCGGGCCTTGTGGGTTCGGCTTGGGGGAGTTTGGGAGGTATAATTTTCGGATTTTTCCACACTGTCAAGAGGCTTCCATGTCAAAATCCATCGGCATCTTGAGAATTTGTTCTTGGGGAGTTTCATTACGGAATGCCTTAGTCAGAGTCCCTGTTTGGAGCCAATTCGGAATTTCTTTGTCCTTGGCTTGATCAAACTCTTGACGCTCAGCTAGGCTTAGCTCTGAGAAACGGACTTCAGACCTTTGCTTTTTAGCGCCGGTGGCTAGAAGCATCCATGCCTCTTCGCTGGTGGGAGATCGCTGGTCCAGTGGTTCTGGCAACTTGACGTCAACTTCGCAATGTCAGGCCACATGCTGATCGGTGGACGTCAGCAAAACCTCCTCCGTGTCTTCACTGATTAGATACATGAGTTCATCGGGATTCTGACACTGGTGGTCATTGGAGCCATGGTCTACTTCGGATTCTGGCTGTGAAGTTGATTCATGCGATATCGTTCTGTCAGGGCCCCCATCAGGTTCTGAGTTCATATGTGGTGGATCGTCGCTGGTTGTCTCTTGATTGGCTTCTGGTGGTGTGATGGGAAATTCATCTGGAGTTTCTCCGGGGTGAACATGGGACATGTTACTAATTTGTTGTTCTAGGGCTGTCCACTCCATTTCAGGTCAGGAGAGCACTTCGGACATGTTCTGTGGCTCTATAATAAAATCGGCCACGTTGGGTGGCCCATACCGTGTGATTATCATCTTGGAGAACTACTCCCTGGGGGCCTATCCATTGGGGATTACTATTGGGATTAGGTTTTCAGATCATTACCCACTGACCCTTCTGGAAAACACCCCTTTGAGGGCAGGATCTGCGAAGCATCGCACGGCGCAGTGCATCACAGTTGTCAGCTGAGTGAAATGCTCTCCTTGCTCGCTCTCGGGCTTGTAGCATTTCTCGGAACATGTCAGGAGTTATTTGTTCATCTTCCTGGACAACCTGTGAATGCGATGGCAATGATTCATTGGACATGACTGATTCGGGGAGACGGGAGTGACGACCAAACACTATCACGTCTGGTGCATACCCATGGTGAATGCTGAGGGATTTCTTAGCATGTGTAGGCTTTCTGAAGATCTTCATAGGTGGTGATGCTACTTTCCATCCGTGCGAGCATGGCCTGAAGGAACTGTCCGTGCCTCTCGATCTTGCCATTGTGCCAGTGTGCTCCGGGACAGGTTGTGTCCCCCTTGATGTTGAACCTTTGAAGAAAGGCTGCGAATTGATCACTGTTCAGTTCTGTTCCCGAGTCCACCATGAGTTCATTAGGGGGTCCAGCCCATGCAGCTAATCCAGTGACGATTAATAAGTTGAATCACCTGCTCGGTCTCCCCTGACGGTGATGTGATTGCGACATGAAAATTAGAGCCGGCGTCAATGATGTGATAAAAGTTGAATGATTGACCTGAATGATTTGTCCACTTTACCCCATCTAAGTAGATGTGGAAATTGAACTCACGGATTGGTTTCAAAATCGTTGGTCTCTGGTGTTTCGGTGGAGCACATGCTGAACAGGTGGCACACTCCAGCTCTTGCGATGCATGTACGATCTCTGGTCTGTACCCTGCTCCTGAGGCGCTCGTGACAACCGGCCCAAGGTTTTTGTCCATCTGGATGATCATGCGTTGGTCCCATTTTGGAAGTGCTCGGATATTTGGTCCTGTCTGGTGGATTGATCTCTCCCCGGGTTTTATTTCATGGAACCTATTCTCAGCATTAGGGGTTTCCTGGTGGCTTTCAGATGGATCGTGATGGGTCCCATTGTCTACTTCAGGTTGAATTGCGGTGATTATCTCACTTCTAGGCCCGGATGTCACAGGCTCTGCATTGCTGGCTCGCGACTGGGCAGGTGCTGCTGTAGCACTTTCGGGATCTGGCGGTGCAGGTTCGGACCGAGAGCCTCGTTGCTCATTGGAACCTCGGGAACTCTGGCTGCTGTAATTCCCTGTTGGCCAAGGCTTTGCAAACATGGTTATGTTAATCCTGCATGCATGAGCTGGTCGGATTAATTGACGATTCGCAAGGTTAGTCCACCTCTCCCAGTCTTTCTCATACTTTATGGTTCCTGTACCTCTTTCTAGGAGGAAGCTTTTCCGGAATGGTGCTTCTTCTGGGTGCATTCCCTTTGGAGGCCCCATCGTTCGGTCTGTTCCCCGGCAGGCAATGACATGAATGATTTGTTGGTCATGAAACAGCTGTTGGAGTCTCTCCAGGATATTGGCATCCTGTACCGTGCCTTTTCCAACCCTGGGAACTAGTTGATTGATGTCGGACATCAAGCGCTGATAATCTTCAAGGTGATGATCCTCACTTTGTTTCCCAAGACGTCTGCGTTTGACATGCTCTTCTCTAGGTGATGGTGTGATGAGCTCAGATTTGGCAAAGGTGGGCTTCTTTCGAAACTTTGTAATGGCATATATTTCTGCATCACCTTCATGGCACATGTTAGAGAATGATATTTGCCAGTGAAATTGTCGATCCCTGTGATTATGCACGATTGCCCTTGCTACTTCCCTTGCAAACTTCTATGACCCTGCAATCTGCTGATGACGGTGATTCCCTCGCCATGTAGCAAGTGAAAGACTGTCTTGGATGTAGTGACTATATGTTCATCCCCTTTTTCATTCGCATCCCATTTGTTGGATCAGTGAGGGCTCCTGCAGTACACATATCGAACTGGCAGGTTTGCGTCTATTGATATACCTCGGCCATTCCGGAAAATTGCAACATCAGCGACTTGGCAGGCCGCACTTGGTGGAACAACACAGCTCCCAGGGCTAATTGGTACATGAGGTGATGCCTCCATCTTTGATACATCTCTTGTGATTCCAATGATTTGGAGGAGTTCAGATATGACCACAATGACCAAGGTCCACATTCTGGACTGTACCAGATGTTGCGGCATGTGGCATGTTGGCGGTGTACAGCACTTTACACTTTGTACAGGCACTTCTTCCTTGTGTCCAACTATGGTATTTCTTGGCTTTGTAGTTGCTATACTTTGAGCCTTTTGCATCAGTTTCGGTACATTGAACTGAGACAGGCTTGCTGCAGATTACGCCCAGCTTTGCGGATAGCTTTCAATGCAGATATCTCAAGCATGTCCTTCGATTTCTTTGACCGTACATGGGGCACTTGGCGCGAGGGAGCAGGCACAAGACCCCAAGCCACAAAAACAAAAGTTAAGACCGATGGCACTAACCATGCCCAAGGAGGTGGATGTATCCAAAACAGGCTCTCGCACGCGCCGTGGGTCGGTGACCACGTGCGATCCTGTTACCTCGCCCACGGGGTCTCTCTTGTGTAGATCCTGAATTCATACATACAAACAGGGGTGGTGGGGAGTTGACTTGATACAAAAACGACGATGCCTCCAATGCTGTCAAGGCGTTGTGAAACAGGAGCAGGTTTTGGATTTGATCCTTTCCATATCATCAGACGTTGCGGGGACGGTGCACGGCAATCAGCTTAAACAATTTGGCACGGCCATCTGCCTGGGCAAGATCTCCTTGCTCCAAACCAAATCGAAAACCACTGCCGCCCTGTGCTTGAATCTGGTGTGTCAGGGGTGACTCAGCACTGCAGAATATTTCACCTAGATCCATAGGGGGGACCTAGATGGGTCATTTGTTTTCAATTCTTCTTGAAACTGCGATCTGCTGTGGGTCTCCCATGTTTGAATGAGCTCGCTTACTTTCGGTAATACCACATGTATATGGACGATTTTACTTGACATCTTATGGGGCTGATTTGAATCGCCAGAGTGGACATGATTGGTCTTGACCTGTTGGATGGCTGACGCATGCGGATGTCTATTCTCGAGCGCAAGGTTGGCAGCAGAGGGGTGTCGGTCTTCGCAGACACTTTAGAGGACGCAGGAGAGACACTGTAGGCCGCTTGAATCATGTCATTCAAATCCACTAGAAATAGCCCTTTGCTGGTCAGTTGAAGTGGCACTGCATTCCTAAACCATGGGCTTGACAGTTTCTGCTGGTGACAATCGATCTTGGCCTGAAGCGCTCGCATCATTGTATTGCTGATCAAAAAAGGAGTGCTCCCAGAAACGATGGCAATCTTTAAATGAAATCCTCCTACAGGCACTACCAATGCATGAGAACTGGTGAGTGCCCCTTGGTTTCCAAACCTGAAAGTGATTTCACATGGGCATCGGTACAATCTGCGGCGAGTGCTTGGCCGAAGCCCTCGATTAACTCAGACACGTGTTCGCTGCCTATCAGCGTCTGGGTGGCTCCCAGATCCAGCACTCCAAGTGGGCTGTGTGTTGCAAACAACACGGATGCAGGCATGTCATGTGGGTCTGACGGGCATGTGATTTCTGTGCTGGAGCTGACAGCGGTTCTTGGCAAGTGGCTGCGGTACCCCGATTCCATTTCTGTTTTCTCACCTGTGGGCAGGATGTGTGGCGACTCACTCCTGGTGATTCTTGCCAATAAACGTTCACGGGCACTATCACTATAGGTCTTAGGTTACCCCCATAGCTATTAGTCTCACATGAATCATTATGACTCCCCTCAGAAACTTTGTGGCTATGATTCCCAAGACCCATTACAAAAAACACTTCGTCCATCCTGCCCTGCTGTTTGGCACTGGGGTCCTCGTCGATGGCTGACTCTTTCACCTCGGGCAATTGCATGAACTCCATGGGCAGGCTCTGGCTGGCGAGGATCACATCATCCTCGGTCACCACGGTGGTGGTGGGTGCAGTGCTGGCGGTTGATGACCCGGTTGGTCTGCTTGATTCAGTCCTATATGGACACACTGCCTTCCAGTGGCCTCGCCTGCCGCATGCTCGGCCATTGGAGGACATGATTCTGTCCTGGAGGCTGCGTCTTGGCTGACTTCGCTTTCCTATTCCACTCCCGTTCTGGTTGAAGGTGGATCCTTTTTGCTCTTTGGGACACTTGTTGAACTTCGACTAGGCCAGAAATGGTTGCGGAATTTCTCACTCAGGCGGGCACGTGCTTCCTGGCAAGCACTGTATGCTGTGGCCAAGTTGGAGTCTTCCTGTAACATCTCCACTGCTGTTTCCTCAAAATCGGCTATGAGACAGGCATCATCATCACCTTGCCCCGGCAGAGACTCTATGAATGAGTCCTCTGACCATTCTTCCTGGGCTAGAAGAGTGGCGTCGGTGGCTTCTTCCTCCTCCTCCTCGTCATGTGCAAGTAAAGTGGCCAGATCATACACCTTGCCTTTCGGTCCTTTCTTCGTTCCAGTCATTTCCTGAAAGAAGTTGGCCCCCAACAAACGGATGGCTTCTGTCACACGCTGCATTGAAAGGCTACCGGAGTTTTCCCGGTCACAGTCCGAAATCACTTTCTTCTTTTCCTCAGGGCTGAGGCCAGGTTCCCTCAGTATGATGTATGCCTGAAGCTGTTCGGTCATCTTTCGACTCAGCAGCTTGCTCCACAAGACATCTGTCCTGTCTAAGAAGCTACCACTGGTTTCATCAGACTTCTGTACTGACTCAAACAGAGCGCGTTCAGCATCATCATATTGTTTCTGTAGAGGAATGCGGCCCCATTGACCGCCCAGGAGTTCAATCAAGCGATGGACTGACTTTTCCTCGCCTGACAGCAGTTCTAATTGGTGTAACGCTACCCTCGCATCCAAGGATGAGCCTTGTCACCAGCTCGGTTAGCTTGCCCTTCGGCCATGCAGCCAGAACCAGTTCAACCTTTTGTTGGTATACGGTCATGTCATCGGATGCAAGATTGAAAGTCGGCACTAACAACGCAAGCTGATTCCTAACCCCCACATTGGGCTCACTTGTTGACGCTGTGGATTGCGCGATTTCCCCGGATGCCGTCCCTTTCCAGAGATGAGTGGGGCGGCCCCGATACCAATGCAAGTGGAGCAATTGGTAGAAGCCCAGCAAACCCCCTTGATTGCTGTGGATAGTATGCCCTGCAAAGAAGGGATGAATGATCCACTAACTCGCCAAAATTCGGAAATCCCAGATACCGGCACGCGAAACCACTTCGCACGGATGCAGCTGCAAATGCAAATGGGCTGCCACGCCCCCAACGCAAATGCGGTGACCCGGTCACCTTATGGCTCAAGATAGGAACCCAATCCCTTCCCGCCACTGTGGCTCGCCTAAGCCAGAATCTGAAATGATACATCATGTTCACCTGAGTCATTGTGGAGTTGGCAGGTACGTGGCATGTGGACTGTCAAGTTTATTGAAAATCACAGTATATGTCTGTGTATGTGCATGTGTATGTTTATGTGTGTGTGTGTTGTTGCAACCGTCTTTGGGATTATTTAGTATTTCTTGTTGGGACCAAATTCAACGTACGCCTTGACGGGTTGGAAACACCAAGCGGGTCCATCCAGGACCCCCAGTCTCCGAAGACCCTGGGCCGACCGATGACAGAACTGGAGAGGCTGGGGAAGCTGCGGCGCTTCATCCATTCGCTTCTTACTGTTGGTTCTCGGCTGATGTTGATTCCATGCAATTTGATCTTTGAAGTTTGGTATCTTTGAGTATCTTTGCCGGAAAGATGGGCCGACCCTCATGAGGCACGCTGAGCAAGTGAAGCCTGCCAAGGCGGATCGGGGTCTTGTTTTCTCCTTCAACCCCCAGCTCCGCGTTATCTTCTTCGTTTTCCACGGTTATGGAACAAGAACGATCAAAACCTATAATACCGCAAAAGCGCGGTGTACTGTAACATACTGTTACCATATGTTGGGGATGCGCATCCGTAAATCCCAGCGATTTTGCAGCAGTTTTGCAGCAGTTTCAGCGACAGGTACAGGGTTGACCCAGACCCTGGCAGGTGGAGATCGAGCAAAATGTAGGTCCAGACTCCCCGCAGGCGCCGCGAAAAAAATCGCGGGAGGGTAAGACAGTAGGGGGGTCAAAATTATCATATGTCGGGTGGATGAACAAGAGGGGGGACCCGTGATGATATGATGGGGACGGATGTATAGAAATGCAAAATGCTTATCACTGGAAGTGACCAAAGATGAGTTTCACTTCTAGCACATACTAAGCTGAAGATTCCCATTGCGTCCTCAGGATACCTGGGGTGAGACGAGACCTGTTGGCTGCTTCTGAATTTTTACTTTGCTCATCAGGGTAATAATATGGGGTTGGGACACCGCTGAGACTCGCAGTATTTTTTTCGTAGTTGTTAGTTGAATCCAGATTTTTCCCCCTTTGAACATGACATCATCTTGCCGTACAAGAAAATAGAAAACCAGTTAGGGGATGTACCTGTTTTGTTTTTTTCTGGTAACTTCGGCATTCTGCATAGGCGACGGCAGAGGATGACTCAGAGCGTCTTGATGCCTTGTCTGCCATAGTCTCGGTACCTTGGAGGAATTGAGATGAAGGGATCCCAAGAGGAGGTGATAAGCTGGTACTTGGCGGTGTGCTGTTGGGACAAATGCTAGAGCCATCAGGTTTAAACCCCAATTAGTTGGGTCAGAACTTTGGTAATTATTTTGGCTCGTTCAGATGAAAGTGCCACGCAAGGTTTGTGCGGTTGTGTTGGTCGCATGTGCTGATACATACCAAGAATCGCGGGACCAACTGCCGTGGGCCCAATTGTTGTTCCAATCTCATGTCATCACATGTTTTCACGCATGTTCATACCATCTCGTCGAGGCGGCTTGGTACCGTTGGGGCATCACCAAGTCGCCCTCTTGCCTTCTGGTGCATATAGGATCATATGAGTTTTAAATTGAAGGCATTCCCCAACTAACAGTGCTTAGTCACTTGCGAGTAGAATTAAGCAATATGTTGTTGCTATTAATTCATTGTGTAGGTTTAATGCCAGGACTGAGGGCTTGCCCGGAACGGAATGAGTGACGTCTTAAAGAGGCTCATTTCACTGCGCGGGCACAGTGTTTTCTATGCTCCACGTCAATTTTTTGGAAAAAAAAACGTCGGAAAAGTGAACCGTCTGCGGACTTTATGCGTGTCGGCCTTTTCCCATTTTTCACTTTTCTGGCGAGTCTGGAGTGTTCATATGCCATCTTGCCACAGCCATGTGCATAGAAGCACGGTTACTTGTTCCATGGAGCCCGGGGATTTTATAATTTGTATAAACCCCAAATGAAGCCCTAATAGAAGGATGGTTAATTGATAATTGGTCCATGGGGCTGGGGAATTTTAAAATTTGTATAGGGTGAATTGTTCCGTGGGGCCGGCAAATTTTGCAACTTGTATAATTCTTAAATGAAACCCTAATAGAAGTACGTATGGTTAATTGTTCCATGGGGCCGGGGGGACGTTACAACTTGTATACACCCTACATGAAGCCTTAATAGAAGTATGGTTAATTGTTCCCTCGGGCCATACCCTCGTACTCGGAGTCTGCCCTTCGGGCAAACCCCTCGTCCTCCAGGTTTAATGAGTCGATTTACCATCCCAAGCTTTTGGGGCACACTATACCATACTATACCCAATTGATCACCATTCCCCAATCTTCCCACCTAGGGAGGCCTGGCTTTGTGTCGTTATCTTAGGCCAACTTCAGCCGTCGCATCGCAGAACAACCTGGCGTCATCGCTGCCGGCTCTGCCTCCGTGGAGTTCGAAGACCATGCGGTGAAGGAGGCTCCTACGCACGTGCCTTGGCAGGAGACAGCAGTGATGGGAGCTGTCAGTTAGGAAGTGGTGAACAACCCATGTGATTTATTTAAATATACACAATATATATATATATAAGAATATATATATATATATATAAGAATATATATATATGTACATATTTATGTATATAAATTTTTAGGTGCCATCATATGTCAGCCATCATATGTAAACCAAGCGATGTACTCCGGGGTATCGTTGGGCAATGTTGGTGATATTCCGCATACCAGCCCCCAGCACCAGGTGAATGCCATGCAGACCATCCGAGTAGCTTGGCCAAGATGGATCTCCGAATGATTCGTTGATTTTGTTCGTCGTTTGTGATGAACATGTCAACAAATATGGTGCCTCAAGATAAGCTGAACACATGTTTTATGTTGTGACATTTGGCGACATGTTGGTCTGATAAGCTGAATTCATGTCCACTTCAGAAACCACCGACACCGTGTGTCCACAGCGTTCCCCTGCTCCTTGACAGAATGATGTCCTGCATGGTGATCCAAGGCAAATTCTGGAGTCTCTGTGCCTTGATTGCCATGGGGAGCTTCCAAAATTGGTTCCTTTTCAGTGGGGAAACTGGTGATCCACCCTGGGTTTTTGGGGATCACCCGATTTTTATATGTTGTTTTTTTTTGGACAGCCCTGTTCACCGCCCAAGATGGCGCGATGTGTCTTCAAGCCTGGCATGGGATGATCAAGGGGTCTTGGAGAAGATCCGTTTGCTCGCCTCTGCCAGTCCAGATTTCGGAACCTTTCACCTCCTTTTGCAATATTATTATTATATATTATTAGGTTTGTCCAAAATGTTGATATTACCCTGGTGTAAACTAACATAGATGTGTAACTATACCTATTCAAAATTGGTGATTTTCCACATCTACGTTAGTTCACAGTTTACAGGAGGGCACTCCCAAAAAATAAGAAGTTGAACGGTCATGAAATTTGGCACCGAGGCCACCTGGTCTCCCAAGTCCACAAGTCCCAAAGCCAAGGCCGGGCGGATGAAATGAGGAGGAATAAACCACTGCTGTCTGGGAATATTTGGTAATAATTATCTTGACCTGAAACATGGGTTTTGTATGTGTATGGTTTTGTCCGAAATTGGAAGATTTGTCCTCAAATCTTGCAATTGTTTTAATGGGAAAACGTTTGATACTCCATGGGAATTGGGAGTATGCCTTCTTTTCCGGCAACCCTACCTAACCATAGAGAAAAAATGAAGAACATATACTTAGGGAAAGGGGGTGATTTCACGCCAACATAAGAATTGCCAACAATAGGACACTAGGCCATATAACATACCCAGTTTTGACCGTGGCACACAGGGAAATGTGTGGGTGCAAAATGCCTATGGTAGCTGTTGCATACTTGTTGCTGTCCTTTGTTGATAAAAGTAAGACCTTCAATAGCTGTCCATTCAGAAGTGCCAAAAGCAGAGACGGACATGCAGACATTGTCACAGTGGCTTGAGCTGTCCGCACCGGAACCAGAACCCTGTATAGATAACATGATAAAACTGATTTATAGCCCTGGTCATTTTAATCATATTACTGTACCAGCTGCGTTTAAGTGCAACTGTATTTGGGGACAAGGGACACCTCTGATTTTGTGTTTTGGCAATTCATCCGTTTCGGGGCTCAGAAAGCTGCAGGGCAAACGAAGGAGACCCAGAGCACCTTGGACGACAAGCGGCGCATGCAGCAATGGCTGGGAGTCACCCCTTTGGGGATCACAGGTGGCAATTGAAAATCCATGATATCTAAGAAATTGTGTTTTTTACGGGAAAATCATCTTGGATTTTCATTGCCCTGTTCGATTACCAGAGGGCATTATCAAGTGATTTCTATTTCATCATCTTCCCATCCTTTGCCCGATCGCCCGCGCCGTGGTTTTTTTTAGGCCATGACTCGTTTGGGCAAAGAACTGTGCGGCTGCCCAGGAGGTGACTTTTTTAGACCGTATGGGAAGCTTCACTGCATAGCTGTATAGCCAACCAGCTCAGTCGCTATCCAGGGATGATGAAGAACCAGAAGAAGTCGGAGCAGATCAGGTGGGCAGTCGCTGCTTCAGGTTCTGCAATAACTTGGACAACTTTGGTTATAGTGGTCGGCACCTCGTCTGTACACGCGAGAATCAACTCGTCTATACACGCGGTTCTCTTACTCGTCCTTGCACGCGAACATTCTCATGTTTGCCGTTACAGTTGGGTTGCTTAGCATAGTTTTTTCTTGTACTTTCTTGTACTTTGTAAAGGTAATTTCAGAGCCCGAGCCGAGCTATTTCTGTCATTCTGTACTGGTTCATGGCATTTAAGACCTCTGAGGTATTTTTTTACTTGCGTTTGAACTGCCTTTGATGCATATATATATATATATACATATACATACGGTTTTCCATCTATCCTTCCTCCTGTTCATGGTACTTGTATGGTGCACTATTTTGTTCCTTCTGTTTCACACATGGCTTTAGTTTACCTTACTATATCTCACTCTTGTATATTCGGCTTTCGGACTTTTGATTTCTGAGTTTCTTCTCTACTTCTGCGTAGTCTCACTGCATGTCAGCCTCCTTGGATCGTTTGTTTATATACTAGTTTGCGTTCATGTTCATGTTCATGTTCATCATCATCATCGTCATCGTCATCGTCACCGTCATCATCATCATCATCATCATCATCACCATCATCATCATCATCATCGTCATCGTCACCGTCATCGTCATCATCATCATCGTCATCATCATCATCGTCATCATCATCATCATCGCGTAGCAAATAGTCCCTGTGCCAAGAGCCAAAGGACGTTATCACACCCACCCCACTCCACCCCACCCAACCCCATTCCACCCAGCCCAGAGCCAGGAGAAGATCTGATAGCGTGGCGTCATGTCGGTGTGCAAGTGCACGAGAAGATCTCATAGCTTAGCCTATAGTCCCTGTGCTGAACCAAAGGATCTGTGGTCAATGCTTGTGTGTGCAAGTGAACATGAACGTTATTGGCACCCCACCCCACCCCACCCCACCCCCCCCCCCTTTGTGCGCAGACGAGTCCAATGTGTGTGTGTGTGTCACATCTGAACAGATGTAAAACTTCTTTGACTCTTACCGTTTTACATTTGCAGGGAACCTTTTTATATTTGCAGGGGGCACCTGGAGCATGGATAGGTCAGGTGCCAACGAAGACACCTATCCAATGCTTGTGATATCACGGCTGATCACCGTGACGTACCTGCCAATTTGCAGATCGGTTTCAACTGTTGATCAAGCTGTTACATTGCGTTGTTTCGAATCTACACGGTTGCCACAATCTGTATTGCATGCATCAGAACCTTCCTCAGATTTTCGCCGAAACCATATCGCCGACAGTATTATGATTTTTTGACAGATTTTCGCCGAGATCATGTCGCCGACGAACTTTGGGTCTTTTTGGGAAACAATCGCCGAAACATTATTTTGGATTTTCAACATGCTGGTCAAAACTCTTTGGACTCTGGTTTTAACTACGTTTGACAATATTGGATGCCCTACATCGTTTTCGAGAAGTACCTCATATGGCTCCTTTACTAATCTAACGATCTAGGCTGGTTTGCATGTTTCAGGATTCAGTTCCTGCCGGATCATATAATGATCCATTCTTGTCTAGTGTGATTTCCATGGTGGCTCCGACATGGTGCCATGGAGCCAATTGAGGCAACCCTTTTCAGGGTGAGTGATGACTGTCCGGACTACCGAATTTACGAATTTTAAGTTGGTAATTCATTCAAGTAAATTGCAACAGCCGGCCATGCTGTTTTCCAGCTTTTTTGAGATGTCCTGCCGTTCCGGCTGTCCCTTGTGAAACCTATGGAATGCATTCCTTACAGAGTGAAGTCGTTCTGAACCGCCAGAAACTCCATTTTTATTGCTGCAGCAACTTTTGCAGCGTCATTGCATCATGTCACGACATTTGCATCAGGCAGGCACACGTCTTTCAGGTGTGGTTTTCTTCCTTTTGGTTTTCTGGTGAGGTGAAACATATTGTGCATCTAATTCGTTGGAACTTGGACGCTGTTTTATGCCATTGGGGCAAGACTTGACCACGGTCCCGGTGCAGGGAATAATCGCACGACATTTTAGGCATTTAGGGACTGAATCCTGTATGTGATTGTCCACTTTTGTTTTGGTCTACTGGAGCGATGCATCCGTGGAACACTCCGCCAACGTCATGGCCTGCTCCACCGCAGCCTGCGAACCCATCGTCGACGTGGCAGCAATCATCGCCGAATGCACATCTATTTGGACATCCCTCGGCCTTGCATCCTACATGGTCTTCCTCAGCTTCGCTCATGCCGTCTACATCACCCCCAACATCGTTGCCGTTCACCTCATTGCCTTCGGCTCCTCATGCAGTACCAGGCCCACAGCTCGTACCCACCATGCCCTCGCCTTTGGCCCCTGAACCAACTATGGTGCACACCGCTCCGTCGACTTTCCCATCTCCTACGGCACCCACCGCTCCACCCACGTGGCCTTCTCCTCCGGCTCCATCCCCTACATCGACTACACCACCTACTTCGACTATGCCACCGACACCTTTGCCCAGTTCTCCATACCCACCTCACCACATTCAACCTCCATTACAGATGGACGCATCGATGGTCTTTCCAAATGAGCCTTCACCACGGGCCCCAGCAGTTAAGGCAGCTCCCAGGCTTCGCTCAGACAAAAGACCGGATCGACCGCGCAGGCCAGCTCCAAAAGCCCCTCCTCCTGCTACACCACCAACACCTACGGCAGCACCGACTTCATCCGTGTCACCTGAACTTGTCGCATTGGGCTCCACTACCCAGCAACTTGCGGAATCTGTTCGACTTATTCAAGCTCAGCAACAATTGATCATGGACTCTCAACGAGCCCAAGAACAAAGTCAGCTCCTTCTCCAACAAGATGGACCTCCACCGAACCCTATACCACCGACACCACCACCTACAACTACACCACCACTGATCGCCACGCCTCCACCTGCACCGAAAGCCAGACCCACCGAACCGGACGTTCCGGACCTTCGCATTGTCCAAGCTCCAGCCATCGCTCCTCCTCACCAACTACAAGTTCCACCATCACCAACACGCCGACCACGATCCAGGACTCCAAGATCACGTTCCCATCGACCTTCTGTACATTCCCATCACCATCGCTACTCTCCTCAACGTGCAGCTCGACCTCGTTCTCCTCTTCCTCGTTATCGATCATCCACGAAACACGCCAAGGACCGCAGAACCCCATCTCCATACAGACGACGATCACCGCCAAGACGCCGCTCTCCCGTGGTTCCTCGACGTCATCGATCTCACCCACGCCCACGTTCCGCGACACCACGTCACCGATCCAGAGGCCGTGAAGTCGTACTTCGACCAGCTGCAAACCCATCCAATCCGAACTACATCCCCCCTCCCGACGCTGATGACACCTGGGGTACATGGAACGACAGCCACTACACCGACAACTACCATCACCACAATGCTCGACCCAATTCTCCTGCCGATCCACCACCACCGGAACCACCAACCAACCCACCAACCCACACTTCAGCACCACTCGGCGCTGTGTCCTTCCGAGTCCCTGACGGCGACAGTGAAAATTCTGAGGTTGCAGATACAATTTCGATCACCAAGTTCGACACGAATGACATCGACCTCAGTGAAATGGTTGAGGCAGCCAATGATCCCCTTAGGGTCCGCTGCCTGACTGAGCTTGGCCCCGATCATGTTGTCCCCCTACGCCAATCATTGACCCCGGCCATCTCGCAGCTCTTCAACCAATTCGTGGACGCGATGTTCGAACAGTTGGCTCAACCATACCGCACCGTCAACAATCATCGTATTTATATCAAAGCAAGCCAAGCAACCGTCAGGAACATTGCCAGGGCCTTTGCACAATCCAACTTATTGGACATCGAGCTCGCGAGGCAAACACAAGCCTTCTACATCGAGCCAGAGAACCTGCTGACCATCACGGTTCCCACAGGATTGCCAAAGAAACCAATCTACCGTGGCGAACACATGGGCACCTACCTGATCTACCACAAAACGAGTTGGGAAACAGTTGCCAAAATTCTCGCGGAAGACTGCATTCGCCCGGCAACTTGGACAAAAAACGAAGCCGGCATGCCAACTCAATACCCATGTTACGGGTTCTTCGGAATGTCCTCTGAGATCGCAGACATCGACAACCTACCCGGCTATGCTGTCAAGATCTGTACCTCTCAGCTCTACAAAATTGGCAAAGGACAAAACCCATCAGGCCTGCTGGCCATTTGCCGCTCACCCAAATGCATCCGTGCCCTAGCTGGAGGAAATGACCAAATCCAACGCTTGTGCAACCTTGCGGGCATCGCCAAGGGCAAAGACAATGCAACGGCTATGAACTCAAGCGCCGCATCCATATGCTACGTTGCCTCCACTCACTCGGTTTTTCCGGGCTTGATCACACACCAGACGGCGGAGACCAATGCACCTTCGGAACCTCCTGATGATCATGCACGTCCAGTACGACCTGACCCTCCTGCCGACGCCCCAGAACCTTCGGAGCCACCTCCAGACGACTCTCGAGACACACCTAGCCACCGCGAGACCGCTGCGTCTGGCTCTCGGGATCATGCTCGCCGATCTTGGCACGACAATGCTTCTTGGGACAATTCAACCTACAGCCGCCGAGATCGCCGCTCCTCATATCATGAAGGCCACTCTCGCGACCAGCACCATGAAGGCCGACCTCGTTCTCGACATTCGACCTACCACTCCAGATCTCGTTGGTGAACTCTTTACCTTTGAGGAGCACCGGAACAAGTATCGACTATTCTACGCCAGCGATACAGTGAGCCTAGTGGCCCTGCCCGATCATTTTGGAGTAACAATGCTTCTCCCGACATTCGGTATTGACGCTACTTCTTCCTCAAAAGGTTTGTGTACTGCTGCATGCTCATGATTTTTGATCCTTTCGCCCGATTCGTTTTTCACTTTACGTTTCACATACTGGGACCACGTATTATGTTTCACACTACTTCAATCGCA